AAACAACCTTAGGGACTAGGAAACACTTGAAATGAAGTGTTACAATCAAATGTGATTGATAAAAGGGAGTTCACGGCCACACAAAGTGTGTTTACGGCCAAGGAAGAGTTTACGGCCAAAGATGCTTAAGTGTTTACGGCCAAAACTTGATCTAAGAAGGGTTTACGGCCAAAATCATGATCTTATGAAGGGTTTATGGCCATAGGAAGAGTTTACGGCCGTAAACTCTTGAAGATCAGGTACTTATGGTTTGTTTCATGGCTAGGAATCAAGTGTTTCTTATGGATAACTAGATGATAGAAGAGATACTCACACTTTGGAGGTCTTTAGGGTGTTTATAGCGCAAGAACAAGTAGGTGTTATTGGTGTTCTTGGTGTTCTTGATGAAAAGGTTGATGATTTGAAGATCTAACCCAAAAAAGTTGAATTCATTGATGAAATCATAGGGTTTCACAAGATCAAGAAGGATATCAAGAAACAAACGGAAGAAACACTTACAATATTGAAGAAAATGAAGTGTTCTTGATGATACTTGAGAGAGAATCGAGCTTCAGCCTTGAAGATGTGAGAAGTGTTGAAGAAATGAAGGAAATTAATACTTAAGGGAAGTGGTTCACGGCTACCTAGAGTTTACGGCCGTAAACTCCTTGTGATGGAGTTTCCGGCTCGATTGCAACCCAATGAAACAGACCCCTAACAATGCTAAAAGATAGCAGAAACAAGTCTGACATTTGATTGGGTTGATTGGCTTTACCAGATAGAAATTTCGGGTTATCACAGTTTATTCCCAACTTCTTGAACACTCCTATGTAAGTTGTCAAGCATGTAAAATCACCATTAATCTTATTGTAAATGCCTAATCTAACTATGGATTCCTCAATTCCATTCCATGTTCTAAAATTTTCCCTTGGGCCATAACAATCACTAGAGTTAGATCTTTGCTAACATTCCTTCATATTTATGTTTCACTATCATCTTTATAGTGTCAATTCATGTTCATGAATGTCATTCACTTCTTAGATGTCAATCAACATGTACTTATCCTTAGATTTCCCAAAATGCCCTTATGGCCAATTATTCCATAAATTCTACTATAGATCACTCAAGCCTTCATGTTCTTGCATTCAAATCATGTTATTAGTATCAAATCATGTTTATGAGCATCATATACTCATCAAATGCTCACATTCCAAGGGTTCCATGGATTTCATCACCACTTACCCCAAAATCATCTAAAACAAATGTTTATACTTGATTCTACCATCATGGATGAATTTGAACATTCCAATTGGATTTATTGCTTCTAAACATCACCTAGGTCATAGAATACAAACCAGTTTCCTCATCACTTGCACTATCCTTAATTTGGGTTTTCTAGGGTTCATGGAGCTTTTTACCCAAATCATTAAATCCATCATTAGAATGATTGGATTGAGATTAGAACCATGGAAACCACTCAAGGGAGGTTAGAAAACCCAACCCTCATCATTTATTAAAGTTAAATTCGACATTAGGGTGCAAACCTAAACAATGAACTCAAAAATAGAGCTAGAGGGGAAGGATTTATACATTGTTACCCTTGAATTACTTCTCATCTTTGCTTGAATGCTTCACAGCTCCACTTGAATCAAACCCTATATACCCAAGAGTGAAGAAATCACCATTTCTCTCCCCCTTTCTCCTGATCACGTTTTTCTCAAGAAAATAGGAGAGAAGACCTATTACTAGCTTTAAACTTTTCCAACTTACCACTTTTGGTCCCTCCTTGCAAAAACTCTTTCAAAGTAACTCCCAACTAACTTAGAAGCTTCAACTAACTTCAAAAATGGTCCCTCTCCATCCTAATCTTCACAAAATTAGTTCAAGTTAGTAAGTTGGTCAAATATCTATTCAAACCTAAGTTTCACTTGATTAGCACGGTTGGCCCTTTAACTTTTAACATGTTATTATTTTCATTTATAATTTTCTAAACTTTATATGAATTAAATATATAATTATCCTTTGGTGATTTATCTTCATAAACCATCTTTCATTTATTTACTTTGTTAATTGAAGAACCCTGTCTTAAATTTTAGGATGTTACACATACACTAAGTGTATTAATTATTTAGCTCTTTATGACATGAATGTCATATATGTTAGTTTGTAAGGTTAGGGTTTAAGTTGAAGTCCCTTAAGGTTTAGGTATTTTATTTATATATTCTTATGTAATTGTCATTTGTGTAATCATGTGTGTAATCTTGCAGGTCGGAGCTTTAGATTAAACCCTCTGCTGTTAACAACAACCCTTGGTTATCAGCCTCCAACTCCGATAACCTTCTTTAGTGGTTAGAACTAGGTGCATTCTTTATCCAATCACGTCACCCCCTCACCCCACCCCCGTCTCAAATCTTCTGCTTCTCCTCCTAAAGAAAACTGTACTACTTTTGACGTTGACTTCGCCAAAGCATAAGTTCTTCTCCACCACAATTGCATCTAGTTTCTGCTTTTTATCTTCATCTCTACTTTATGTTTTATGTTTTGGTTTTCAAATAAGTTAATCGTCTCCTTCCGATTAAACTATTAAACTGTGGGGATGTTAGTTAGTAAGGTTAACTACATTGTAGGCCCAAGGCCCTTAGGGCATATTTATTCTCTATATGTTATTATCTATCAATATTATTCACGGATATAATTCATAGGTACACTCTTATTATAATTTTGCTCCAAAGACAATTCTTGCCCCAATTTTGTTATTTGTTTTATTGCCACACTTGCATTTGTTTTATTTTTTATAAATTAAAAAAGAAACGATTTAGTGTATGATGTGTAGTGGGTATTTAATTTATGAAAACTTCATTCCAGTCAACATAATAATATTCTTTAAACCAAGGGCAATCCAGGTAGGCGCCAAAAAACGAACTAGGTTCTATTTATATTTACAGAATCAGAGGTGCGTCCACCACGACCACAGATAATACCAATATCAAAAACAATGTCTTCTTCAGGGCTAAACTTAGAAAAATATCGAATTCCACTGGAGGAGATCATTCGGGCAACAAATAACTTCGGTTCAGAAACTCTCGTGGGAGATGGTGGATTTGGTATGGTCCACAAAGCAGAACTCGGTGATCACACAGTAGCCATCAAACGCCTCAATAGGAATAATTATCAAGGAAATGATGAGTTTCGTAACGAACTCCATATGGTTTCCAGTTTCCAGCATCCAAACATCATTCCATTCATAGGATACTGTGATGATGACAATGAGATGATCATAGTTTATGAATATGCTATCAATACAAGCCTTGATCGTCATCTTCACAACCCAGAGAAGAGGCGTTTAATAACCTGGGCACAACGACTGAAGATTTGTTTAGGGGCAGCAAGAGGACTCAAGTACCTTCACTCGGGACTTGGTCATAAGCTCAGAGTAATTCATAGAGACGTGAAGAGCGCGAATATATTGTTGGATGACAATATGGAAGCCAAAATTTGTGATTTTGGTTTGTCAAGATTTGGTCCAAGAAATCAAGCAGAAACGCACGTTATTACAAAGGCTTCGGGTACAAGATTTTACATCGATCCCCTCTACAATGAAAGAGGCAGGCTTGCGAAAGAGTCAGACATATACTCATTTGGAGTGGTGCTATTTGAAATTTCGAGTGGGATGCTGGCTTACCAGCCAAGGTTCTTTGGAGATGCTAACGAACAATATCTGATGGATCTAGTCCGAAGCCACTATGATGACCAAGAACTGGTTGATGGAGTCAACAAGTTAATTGATCCCGATATAAGAGGTGATATTGATATGAGATCTTTTCATACGTTTAACAAAATTGCACATCAGTGCATTAGCTTCAAGTTAAAGGAACGTCCTACAACGGATAGGATCATCGGTAGCATCGAAGAAGCATTGAATATTCAAGTAAGTTTTTTTCTTTTTAACGTTTCTGAGGAAATTTAAAACTATTTCAATGTTGTTTTTGCCAATGCGCATGCATGGTTCGCTTGTACCACAAACATTATAACATTAATATGTCGATTCCTTCGTTCAAAACCGAACCATTAATTTGTCAAAATTGCAATAAGATCTGGAGATATTGAAACTGTGTACGTTTATAAAGGTAGAACCAGAAAGCTAGTTTACTTTTTTTAAATTATCAATTACTTTTTTGAATTTTTTTTAGTAATTAAACTCTTAAATTTGTTTGTGAATCTAAAAATATGTAGTCATGTTACCGATAAAACGGACGAAAAAAGTGTAAAGTTTTTTTTCATATCATCAAATTATTTGATTATTATTTAAAGATTATATGGCTAAATCAGAACAATATATATAAAAAAAAAAATAGAGTATGGAATAAAAATACTAATATGATTGCGTGTCCAAACTTATTTTGTATTTTTTTTTTTTTTTGCTTAATTAATGCTTCCTTTTCTAATAAGATTCGGTTACGTGTTAAAACAATGTCTTAAGATAACTTAAACATCAAAACTATTATATTAAATTATTTAAATGCCCTGCATTATTCTAGACATACGACTTCCATTAACATAAGCAAGAAATAGCGGAAAGTCTTTAAGGACTTTTTTAATCAATTGGTTATGTCGATAGCAGAATTAGTAGACGCCTCTAATTAAGAAAACTTGCTTCTGTTTTTTATTATATTTACAGAACAACAAAGCTGCTTCAACTGTAACCATACGAAGCATCCAGCCCCAAAACCTTGAAAGTTTTCGAATTCCACTTAAGGAGATCAAATTGGCAACAGGAGACTTCAGTCCTGATTCCCGAATCAAAGGTGATGGAAATGGTGCAGTCTTCAAAGGACATCTTTCTCAAAGCTGGCAAAACCGCAAAGTTGCCATAAAACGCCATGATCCGAGAGAATACGAAGGAGAGAACCAATTTCATAACCAGCTTAAGTTAGTTTCCAGCTTCCACCATGAAAATATCATCCATTTCATTGGTTACTGTGATGAAGGTAATGAGATGATTATTGTTTATGAGTATGCTAGCAATCATAGCCTTGATCGTCATTTCGAAGACTTGAATACGAGGCGTAGCCTTACTTGGGGACAACGCCTTAAGATTTGCTTAGGGACAGCAAAAGGACTCAAATACCTTCATTCAGGTCGAGGGAATGATCACAGAGTTATACATGGAAACATCAGGAGTACAAAAATATTGCTAGATCAAAATCTAGAAGCCAAAATTTGTGATTTTGGTATGTCTCAACAAGGTCCTAGAAATCAGCATTATACGCAAATAAGTACAGAAATTGCAGGTACAAACTTGTACTTGGATCCCGTTTACCATGATAGTGGTATCCTTGATGAAAATTCGGACGTGTATTCATTTGGCGTGGTGCTATTAGAAATGTTGACTGGAATGCTGGTTGATAAGTTAAGTAGATTCGGAGATAGTACTAATCCACAACCTCTAATAAGTCTCGTCAAAAGCGATGGACTCGAAAAAATAATTGATTCGACTATACGTTATCAAATTGATGACCGTTCTTTACAAGTGTATAAAGAACTTGCTTATAAGTGCATAAGATACAATTCAAAGGAACGCCCTACTATGGATACAATTATCAAGATGATTGAGGATGCAATACACTTTCAAGTAAGTCCTCTTAATTATATAATTATTAATGAAAACTATCATCGATTATATATATATATATATATATATATATATATATATATATATATATATATATATATATATATTTCAGACGCTCATTTTTCATGACATATATTATGGTTAATTTTCAAATTATGATCATGTTTTTTAATTTTTAAAAAAGGGTTACATATATATTTTTAATATTTTGTGTATTCTAATTAATAAATAGTTTTCATCTTATTTTGACAAGTGTTACTCTAATACAACTAATTATTAATATTATGATACGTGTTATGTAGATATATTAGACAATTCATTTCAAAATTCAAATTTACATTTTCTAATTATATTTTAAACTAGTTTAATCCCGTGGTAACCACGGGTTATAAAATTAATTAAACATTTATAATAAAAATTTATAATTATTAATCAATTACTTTAAATAAACCATTTTAAATAAATTATTAATTAAGAGATATATGAAAAATTTAAAGCTATTATAACTTCAAATTTAACATATAATTAGAAGATGTAAATTTGAATTTTGAAATTAGTTGAATAATATATATACATGACACATGACATTATATTAATGACGAGTTATATTAGAGTGAAATTTGGAAAAAGAAGATTAAAATTGTTCATTTATTAGAATAGGGATTTGAAGTTATAATAACTTTAAAATTTTGATATATCTCTTAATTAATAACTTATTTAAAATAGTTCATTAATAATTAAAAAAAATTATTATGAAAGTTTAATTAATTTTATAACTCGTGGTTTTCACAGGATTATAAACTAGTAAAATATAAGTTGCTTTACACAATATATTATGAGTTATTTGATTTCTTATCAATCTATGAATTAAAAATTAGTTCACTTATTCATGAGAATTATAATGAAAAAATAAAATTATGTTGAGTATTCAATATTGATGTTGCTTTGAAGGTCTTAACCAGATTTTTAGTCATATGAAAATGTAAACTGTATCATATTATTTTTCTCTGTTACAGGAAAATTTTATACGATTATATCCCAAACATGTTGATGATTTTATCTATTTCATTATTCTCTTTTTTTATTATTCTAATATAATTCTTTTTTTTTTTGTGTTCTGCAGTACTAGAAGCCTATCATCATAAAAATATTCCCAAGGAAAGATATGGCAAGTGGTTGTTTATGCAAAGGGTATATGAATTTTAAAAAAACTACATAAACCTTGTTTGCTTCTCTATGAACAATTGGACATGTCAAAAAAATGTATGATTAAAGAAAAAAATAATTCTTTTGACCGTGTGATTTGTATGATATCTTTTTTTTTTTTAATTCAAATCAGGACTGTCGAGTATATGATATTTCAAATCACAACTTAGTTATCATCATACAACGACTAACATGACAATGAGCAAAAAGTTGCGCCGCTAAGCCTTTTTGTATGGTAAATTCAATTATTTTGAAAACTACATCCATAGAAGTCACATTGATGTGTAATCCATTATGCAGTTTATCCAAAAAAATTAAACAAGGGTGCGTTTAAAGAAAAGAAAAACTAAGAATTTTGGATTCGTGGTTATTATATCCGTGATTCATGTGAAATGAGAGTTAATAATATTATGGTGATGAAACCATATGTTGAGTTGTGTCAAGTATACCACAAAGCCAGCATCATAATGAAAACCCAAACCAAAGAAGAGTAATAATGAAAGTTTTTAATTCTAGTCAGGTCGGTCTATTGACTTATTGACCTTAGCTTTGTGCCAAAACAAAAATATACACTTAAATGTAATATTTTATTTATATGCAAAACTAATTAATAATACAATACGATTCGATACCTAATAGTTTCTAACTATATTATTAACTATGATTGAAAACAAAAAAAATTGTTCATTTAAAAATAATCAATACCAGTAATTAGCGACAGAAGCGAGTAATTAGCGACAGAACCTGATTACAAGGTCTTTTGCAGAAATCTATACATCGTTAATTCAGTGGCTAAGTACCTTGCTAATTAATCGCTAGTTTGTTGCTATCGGCCATTAGCAACTGATTTGTACGAAAATTAACTTCCTTTAGTAAGGTGCTGTTTGTTTTTTGGAAAAAACCTGTTCAGACCTCTTATTGCTGCGCAGCACGCGCACAACACTTTCATCTCGCAGCTGTTTGTTTTTTAGAAGTCTTCGGAATCAAAAACTTATGCGTGTGCTCTGTTTGGCGCAGCACTTGTACTGTCTCTTCCAACATTTTTTTCTTCTTTTTTTTCTTTCTGAAATTTTGATTAAATGTTGAAATTTTATCACATTTTATTTCGTTTTTTTTTGTTTATTGTTGTTGATTTTTTTTTCGTTTTTTTATATTCAATAATTATAATTTCTTGATGAAATATCATTATTTTTTTGTTGAAATATCATTATTTTTTACTGAAATATCATTAATTCTTGTCGAAATGTTATACATTATTATGTTTTACGTATTAAATTTTTTTTTTTCGGTTTATAAAATTAGTTTATTTTAATTTTTTAATATATGCAGCAGTATGCAGATGTTAAAAAAACAAACACGCTTTTTATTATAGTTTGCAGCCGTTTGGTCCACCTCTTCTACCGCACCGCAGAGGTTGCAGAGGTGGTCCGCAGACTTAATGAATTTTTGCTTCAGAAAATCAAACAGCACCTAATTCTTATGTACTTAAACAAATTTTTAGCCACCTATCTCCTCAGCGATGGCACTGATGGCACTGGCACTAATTGTATCTTACCTATAAACCCTACATGCATTTATCCCTCTGTAGTCGACACCTACATCGACAGGTGTCTTCATTACATATCGGGCTATATTGACAACGACATGTCATCGCTACAGGGTGACCATAATCTTTTGGCCTCAAAGTCTTCACCGATGACATGTGTTCGCAATAGGTAAGGCGGGATACGAAAACCTTTTATCCGGGTTTCTAAAATATATGTTAATGACTTGTCGTGATGCATCGGTCATTGGGTATGTTATAGCAACGTCGTTATAGAGACGCATTGATCATGGGATGGCTATAGCGACAACATGTCGCCGGTACATGTCGAATTTAATTATATTTATTTTCATATTTATATTAAATAAAAGAAACAATAATGTTATGGTATGGGTTATAGCAAAGATATGTCGTTGCTATAAGGTTGTATCTTCAATATCACTTCAATATCAGGTCTCAACCTCCTTTTTTCACAGCTCCTCATCTCATATATTTTGCTCTGTCTCGATCAATGGTTCACTAGGCCACTTTGAATTCAACGAATAACTCTATTGCGACTACCACATTCACCATCGATATTCGGTAAGCTTCGAGGCCCCTTTTTCTTTTCTGATTTTTCAGCCCAATCACCATTTTCCAGTTTATTTTGTTTCTTTTTCCCCGTAACCACGCCACCATAGGGATGACGCCAGTTGGTGTCTTGTTTTCTAATTTCTGTTCTCCTTTTTTTTTCTAATTTTGGGTTACCTTTCTGGTGACTACCAGCAACTATCGGAGGACCACCAACCTCTATAGTTGATTCTAGAAACCACCAAATTTCGGCCACGACAATAGGACCACCAGGTATGTTTTCTAGCCTTTGTATTACTTATGTCTTTGATTAGGTTAATTATTTATGTTGAGTGGTTGCTTTGTTATGATTTTAATCTAGTTTGGTGATGGTTTATGCATTTATATTCTGCCAAAAGGAAAATTGTGCTTCTAATGATGCTTAAACTCATATTCATATGCTACTTTACTAATTGATATGTGTTTGAAATATGTTAATTTTTGGATGTTTAATTTTTTTGTTTGAAAGTGATTAATATGTGTAGTTGTTGGGTGTTTTGATTCTATAATATTTATGAAACTTGTATTTGTTTAAATCTATATGAATCTATATGAAATTGGAATTGGAATGATTTTGTGTAAATATGTTTGGAATCGCCTAAAATTGTATAAATCTATATGAAATTTTAATTGGAATATTTTTATTCTTATTTTTCTTTTATTTGGATGATATGTGCCTAATTAATTATATATCTAATGCATATTTGTAATACTTTTAGCTATAATTATGCTTTATATGGAACAAAAGACACTTAATATGCTTTAAATTGTGGTTTTTAGCTGCAAAGACTTGTTCAGGACAAAAAGGAAGCATACGAGGAGCTGGAAGCAGGAAATGAGAGTAAAACACAAAAGAAGAGAAGAAAAGGTCCGAAGACCACGTTCTGGTGACTTAAAAGTGACGTGGTGATTGGAAGAATAGCGACCTTGATGCTGACGTGGCAATTATGGGATTTACTCGAAGACCATGTCGTGGTGGCGGTCAACGATGACGTGGTGGTCAGATTTTCACAAATATAAAATCCCGGTCATTAGTTCGAATTTGAGAGGTTGCATTCGGTTCTCTGAGGTTATTTGCGAGTAATTAACCCTTAAAAATCCAGAGGGAGTCGAAATTCAAGAGAAGCTCTAGGACTAAAGAAGATTTTGAAGATATTCAACATTGATCTAGTTGGTTTGCTATTTGAACTTATGTGTAGCTTATTCTACTTAGATTTAATGTTTTTTCATGCTATAATGAGAGGCTAATAACCTTTTACTTTTGTTTGGTGAAGATGGGCTTGATACATATGTGTTGATTTCAATATTGGATGATTGTTATTGGTTTTACTTGTGTTTGATATAGATAAACCCTAGCATGTTTTGGTTTTAGTTTATATTACTTATAAATCAGATTTTGTGTGTTAATTAACCATATTAATTGTATTAATGTATCTCCAAATTGTTTATGACCATTAAATAGTATTAATCATCTTAGTTAAAAGTAATTAAAGTTATTAACTTTAATTGTGTTAGAAAGCATAATTAGTATTAATTTTGTGATTGGTTGCTCAACTTGACCACGGAAGAGTAACTAATATCATTCATAGTCCAATTGTGCTATTATCAATTTAGTGTTTAATTCGAGCAAGACCATTGCCTTGTCATACATAAATCGATAGGCCTAGTAATTTGACCATAAGAGCTAGATAATTGGTAATCAATATAATCTATCCACTAGAAATCAACCATAGGAGAAAGTGAAATCGAATCTATATAGAAGTATTCTTTAATTCTTGAAGTTGCTTTGTTATCATTGTTACTTTTTTTCTTGTTGATAGTAAGTTATTCTGATTTTGCAAAATCAGTACCCCCCCTAATTATAGCTTGTTTCATAGTTTAATAAGAGGTAGTTAACTTCATTAATTGAATTTCGTTCCCTGTGATCGACACCCGACTTACCTGAACAATGCTATAATCTAACTAGGTACACTACCTATAGGTTCATAGTTAGTAAAAGTTTATTAGGTTATAAATTTAAAACTAAATAGGTACTTTTGCGCACATCAAAGTATTTGGCGCCGTTGCCGGGGAACGACTTATTTGATTTATATTTTAATTGCTTTTGGTTATTCGATCCATTTTGTAGGGTAAAAAACCAAAATAAGTTACTTTGGTTGTGTTTGTTTATTTTAATTTTTCTCTGAGACGCAACCATGGCGTGGTTATATCCACCACGTTGTGGTCTCGCTTCAGATAAGTTTTAGTTTATTGATTTATGACCTGAGGATCTAAAAATCCAATTGTTCCTCCACTAGAAGATCCATAATCCGATTTTCACTTGAAGAAAGACAAAATTGGCGAATCGAGCAATACTTCCAAATCAGAAAAATTAGAGCTTTTTGAGAAGACACTTGATAAGTAGGGGCTATGATACGAGCAATACTTACTAAAGAGAGATAAGAAGAAGAAGAGATAAAAGTTGAGGATGAAGAGATGGAGGATATTATGAAAATGACGATGGGAGACTACAAGAAGAGAATTTTTGAGCTCAGAGGACATGTACCCGGTCTAGCTCCACCCGAGATAATTTTTGAGCTCAAAGGGCACATTCTATCTATGCTCAAGGACATACCTTTCTTCGGGAAAGAGTGTGAAGATGCTTTCAAGCACATTGATGAAATTAAAAACATTTCCAATTACTTTCATGTTCCTAACATGCCAAGGAAATCCGTTTTACTAACGATGCTTCCAGTCACAGTTACCGATGAAGCTAAGGTGTGGTTGAAATCTCTTGCACCCGGATCCATCACTACATGGGCTAATCTTCCTGATGCTTTCATTGAGCAATTTATTCCACCTTCGAAGATCTTAAAGCTAAAAAATAAGATAACTAATTTGCAACAAGATGTGGGAGAGTCATTGTATGGAGCTTAAGAGAGATACAAGGGCTTGCTAAG